GAGGCGGCGCGGGCATCCACGGCCTCGCCCCAGGTCTCTGCTCCCGCCGTGCTGCCCGCCAGTACAGCCGCAGAGAGCAAGGCCAGCCCTGAGGAACGGCTGGGGGACCTGGGGCTGGAGCTGCGGCTGGGGGCACCGGACCTTTGATGGCTCAGTCCAGGGAGCCAGCCAAGCTGCGTGGGGCGGCTCTGTTTTGTTTAAAAAAAAAAAGAAAGAAAAGAAAAAATCAGAAAATCCTAGTAACCTTGGATTTGGAAGAGATTTGCCAAATTGTGTACAAAAACCATGATCTATCCATAAAAAAAATTGATAAATAGGACTTTATAAAAATTAAAAGTGTTTTCTCTTCAAAAGCAATGATATGAAAATAAAAATACAAGCCACAGATGGAGAGAACGTACTTGCAAGACATATATCTAACAAAGAACACATATCTAGAAGTTATAAGGCAACAAGCCCTTTAGCGGTCAATAACAAGAAAACAGAGGAAAGAGATCTAAACTGATATTACACCCAAATATATACACAGTTAGTAAATAAATATACGAAAACATGAACATCATTAGTCATTAGGAACATGTGAATTAAAATCACAGTGAGCTACTAAGAAATACCCATTAGAATAGCAAAAAGTCTAGAAACTGACCATACCAAGCATTGTTAGGGCAGTGGAGCAACTGGAGCTCTCGTACACTGCTGGTGAGATGGCAAAGAGTTCAACCACTGTAACAGTTAACTTTATATGCCAAAATGACTGGACTAAGTTAAGAGATACCCAGATAGCTGGTAAACATTACTTCTGGTTGTGTCTATGAGAGTGTTCATGGAAGAAATTAGCATTTGAATTGGAAGACTGAGTAAAGATCTACCCTCACCAATGTGGGTGGCCTTCAGTGCCTGAATAGAACAAAAAAGTAGAAATAGGGCAAATTTGATTTCTTCAATTCAGCTGAAACATTTATCTTCTCCTGCCCTCAGACATCAGACTCTTAGTTCTGGGTCTTCAGGCTCTGATTGACACACCATCAGCTCTACGGATTCTCAGGACCTTCAGACTTGGACTGAAATCATACCACTGAGTTTCCTGGTTCTCCAGCTTGCAGAGGGCAGATAGTGGGATTTGTCCGTCTGCCTAAACGTGTGAGCCAATTCCTATGAATTTCTTCCCCTGTACACATTAGTTCTGTTTCTCTGACTAATACTACTAAAATGAAAAACAGTTTGGCATTTTCTTAAAAAGCTAACATAAGCTTACCTAAAAGTACACCTATGCTTATATGAACCAGCCAGTCCATGCCTAGGTACCCAAGATAAATGAAAGCCTGTATCCATATAAACTGTACTTGAAGGTTTATCATAGCTTTATTTCTAGTAGCCATAATTGGAAGCCACCCAAACATTAATCAGGAGGTCAGTGTGTAGACAAAGTGTGATATAGCCATACAATGAAATTGTCCTCTGCAATAGAATAAAAAGAACTATTGATAAAGCCAAGGTGGGTGAATGTGAAAGTAATGATACTGAGTGAAACAAACCAGACAAAAAGAGCACCTGCTGTATGATTCTACTTACATAAAAAATGTGATCTAAACTACAGTGACAGAAAATAGACTAGTGGTTGCCCCGAGAAGGCAGCGAAGGAGGAAGGGATCACAAAAGCACACAAGTAAATTTTTAGGACTCATTCATCTGTTTATTATCTTGGTTGTGGTTATTGCTTCACAGGTGCATTCTTTTGTCAAAATTCATCAAATTGTATAATTTAAAAGTATATATTTAATGTATGTCATTGTATATCAGCAAAGTGATCTTACAAACACATAAAGTGAAAAGACAAGCCCCAGACTGAAAAATATTTGTAACATATAATTGACAAAGAATTTCTATTTAAAACATATAAAATCTCCTTTAAGTTAGTAAGAAAATTCTGCTTGTATATGTATCTTAGAGAAACTCTTATGTGCAGTTTATTTGGTTTTTTGTTTGTTTGGTTGGTTGGTCTGGTTTTTTTTTGAGGGGGGTTGCAGTTTTGGGCCAGGGCTAGGTTTGAACCCACCACCTCAGGTACATGGGGCCAGTGCCCTACTTCTTTGAGCCACAGGTGCCACCCCTGCTGTTTATTTGTTTTTTGCTTTTTTTTTTTTTTTTTTGAGGCTAAAGTACGGTGGCATCATGACAGTTCATTGCAAACTCAAACTCCTCCTCCTGCCTTAGCCTCCCAAGTAGCTGGGAGTAGAGGTGTGCCACCATGTCCAGCCAAGTCTTCTGGTTTTTGTAAAGACAGGGTCTCACTCTTGCTCAGACTGGTCTTAAACTCCTGACCTCAATTGATCTTCCTGGCTCAGCCTTCCAGAGTGCTACCGTTATAGGTGTGAGCCACCGTCCCTGCTCAATGCACAGTTTATAATAGCAAAAACTTGAAAATCACTCACATCTCCGTTGTTGGTAGAATAATCTGGGGCATAATCCCATGTTGGGATGCTTCAGAGCAATGAAAATTAGTTAACTGCAGCTACACAGAACATCAGATTAAATCTTAGGAACACACTGTTAAGTTAAAAGAAAGCAAGTCTCAGAACAATAAATACAGTGTGATAGCACTTCCTCAAAGTTCAAAAGTACAAAATTATTGTAAGTTTGAAATAAAGGGAGTGATTAATGTAAGACCAAGATTGCAGTTGATGATGATGGAGAGGGAACATAATGGAATTCGACAGAGACCCACACAGTACTTCAAGGATTATGATAATATTCTCTCTCTTCAACTGTATAAGGACACAGAAGGGTATATTTCATTATCATTCTTTACACCTTTATATTTTCTATAAATGTTATCTGCTCAATAAAAATAAAGAAGAATAAGCATCAGCCCAGTAGTGACAGGGCTTAGTAGTGACAGCCCAAGGAGGGCTTCTACAGCCTAGGTGGTCTTGGGAAGGAGTGAGGAATGGGAGTGATCCCGTCTCCCTGGAGTATTCTGAGATGATCCTGATGGCAGAACTAACCCTGTGAACTGCGTCCCAGTCTCCATGAGAATACCACAGTCCCAGTGATGCTTTTTATCCCCCAGCGAATCACACCTATTCTAAATAGTTCATTAAGTAAGCTTTAGTCAGGTAAAGCAAAATTTCCCTGCAGTTTTGTGGGGATTCAAGTGTAAAGAGCTGGATAGCTTCACCCCGGATCTTCGGGTGCCTTCTTGCTTTCCATGTTGAGAGCTGGGTCCTCTAAGGACTGATACAGATGGTGTAGGGGAGGGTCTCTGCAGCTAAGACAAAATGGTAAGGGTAGTTAATGCGAAGGGTGGCATGGAAGGGAAAGATTGTTGTGATATGTTTAGAAGCTCCTTAGCCTCTCTCTAACCCTGAGGTTTCTATGTTTTATGGAGTTTTAGGAGTAAAGGTCCATCCAAACACACTTCATTTATTTAATTTTTGTTAGGGCTAGCTAGACTTTTCTTCCTCTTCTGAGGCATCTGGGCCTTTTGCATCACATCAGCTGCAAGGTTGACTGCCTCACTGCCTCCCCCAACGCCCATATTCAGCCACTCTTGGATTCCCTGGGGCCACTTGCACAAAAATGTACATGTCTTAGATAGTGGAAATGTTATTGTAAATGCTTATTTTAGACTGAGCAAGATCCGCTCTCTCGTGCCTATATTGCTGATGTGTCTGCTCCGGTCTGTGGTTTTTGAACAGCTGGAGGGTCATGCTGTCCCTCTCTCTACCTTCAAGGGGGACTGCCTGCCTCTATTTCTGATGGCTCTCTTGTCTCCAAAGGACTGAGTAAAGGGCTAGTGGCTGTTATGACGGGAGAAGGGGAAAGTGTGTGGTCACTGTGCAAAGAGGCAGTGCCGGCCGCTGAGGAAACTGACACAGTGAACATTCAGAGTCAGGGACAATGGTTCCGAAAGGGCCACCTGGAGATGAGGGAAGATGCTGTAGCCTCTACACTGCCCCTATTTCTGAGTCTCCTAAGGTTTCTCCAGCTATCAGATGCCTCCTTCTCCAATTTCCTTAGGATCAGTGGCTTAAAGTCTGGCTATGAGCCTGAGCCGTGGGCTGATGGCTAGGCCCTCTGGAAGTCAATTTTCTTTTTTCCTCTGCTCTTTCCCAGAAGATTCTCCCTGCCTCATACTCATATTTCCATTCAGAATGAGCAGTCACATGAGTCTAGACAGACCTGGGTACAAACTTCTGTGGGCTTTGGATGGTCAGAGCAAAGGCAATCTTTTTCTTTTTCTTTTTTTTGTTTTTTTTGAGGCAGAGTCTTACTTTGTTGCCCTTGGTAGAGTGCCGTGGGGTCATAGCTCACAGCAACCTCAGACTCCTGGGCTTAAGCAATTCTCTTGCCTCAGCCTCCCAAGTAGCTAGGACTACAGGCGCCCACCACCATGCCCAGTTATTTTTAGACACAAGGTCTTGCTCTGACTCAGGCTGGTCTCAAACCTATAAGCTCAGTCAATCCACTCGCCTTGGCCTCCTAAATGCTGGGATTACAGGCGTGAGCCACCATGCCCGGCCATGCCATGGCAATTTTCTTCCCCCTCTGTTTTGCTATGTTTCAGTTACCAAAGACAAGTGAGCCCTAGAGCAGGATGGGGCAGGACGTCTGAATTCTCATCGCTGATTTCCCCAGTGATTTTCCACATGGCCTTCAAGCCATTTCCCGCCTCCTGTCCTCTATTGCTTCTCAGTGAAGTAGACAGTTGTTGTAGTGACTCTTCCCGGATACATGAAGGCCATTTGGACATCAGAAAGGTCTCTGCTCTCTGTGAGGGAATTTTTGAACAATCGACAGTGCCATTATTTCATTACAGCCCTAAGGATGCAAATGACACCAGAACCAACCTGGTCAAATCTGGATGCTGAAACCAATCACTACTTTGAGAAAGACAACAGACCTCAGATGTGAGGCCTTAAGACAGTTAGATTTATTTCCTCTTTTCTAATTTGAGAGGTTTCATTTTGAAAATAATCACTGTTGAGGTTGCAGGAGACCTAAACACAGCCGACATGAAGTTGGGCTGTGTCCTCACAGCCAGGGCCTTCTACCTGTCCCCTGTGATGCTCTGGGCAGCCCAGATGTTACTGGGTAAGTAAAATGTTTGAATATCGGTGTGAGATTGGAGCTAAGTGTGGCTTTGGGAAAAGACCCAAAAGAAAGGAACGTGGGCTAATTTGACCCTCCAGAGAAGCAGTGTTCAGGTGGGATAGGGGTAGTAGGTATGAGAAAATTTGGTGTGCAGGACTGAATGGCTTGTTTGCAATAGAAAAATTGTCAAACCTGTCCTGTCCTCAAAGTCCCCTCTCACTATGATGCTCTCTCTAGCTGCAATCACAAATCTTACTTTTCATTTCTGAGACAAGTTTCTTGAAGGGATAGTCTTCACTTGCTCTCTCCACTTCCTCACTTCTCGTACCCCCTTGCAGTCTGGCCTCCACTGGAATGGATCTCACCTGGATTCCAGTGACCTCCCTATGGACTGGTCCTTGCACACTATGTAGTTCTTAGACTGCTCAGCTTCTCTGCTACCTTGGGCTCTGTTAATCACTTATTCTTTCCTGCCTTCTCTACTCTTCTGGCTCCGTGGCACCATTTTCTCCTTGTACTACACGTACTTCTCTTGGCCCCTCAGCAGCTTCTCTTCTCTCCCCCTTCAATACTAGTGTTCTCCCTTGTTTCAGCCTTGCCTTTCTGCTCATCTTTCTTTATATAATCTTCTTCATGAACTTATTTGTCTGCATAATTTTTGCCACTACAACTGCATAGACTCCCAAGTCATATCCCCAATAGGCTTTTGAGCTTCACTAGCAAATGTCAAGCTTTACACAAGATACGCAAGAGCTGTCCACAAAATATCCAGCCATTGTCAATACTATGCTCCGTAGGGCATGGCTGGATACTGCCCAAGTAGCCCTTTAATATACCTGCTCATCTCACAGGTATCTCAGCCCCCTGTGAGCTCATCTGTTCCCCTAGCTCTCACTTCTTTTAATTCATCTCCCACTATTTCTGATCTCAGTTAATGGAACCAGCATCTACCCTGACATCCAGGACCAAAATCTGAGAGACAACCCATGCTCTTCCTGCTCCTTCATTCTCGATAGCTGATTAATCCTCTAGTTTGGCAAATTTTACCTCCTAAATTATTCTTGGAAACAGTTCCTTTCCTGAAACATCACCGATGTCTTAGGACAAGCCCTCATTATCTATGATTTGGCCCAGGAACTTCCTAACAAATAATCTCTTTGCCCCAGCTTTGTGTCCTTGAAATGAATTCTGCAGTGTGTAGCCAGAGTGCTTTCTAAAACCAAGCTGACCAGCCCATGCTCCTTATCATGGCACCCAAGGCCCACCACAACCTGGCCCCTACTGACCTCTCCTCCACCTTCTGAGCCTTGCAATGTATGCTCTGATAAATCCCAATCAGCTTATGTTTCCACTTTCACACATCGGATGCACCTGTCCCCAAGGCTTTGCTTATACTACTGTTTCCACCTGAAATGAGCCCCCTTCATGCCTCTTCTCTTCCCCTGTACAAACTTATAAGTCTAAAGACTCAACTCAGTTGGCATCTTTTTTTTTTTTTTCTTTGAGACAAGAGTCTCCCTCTGTCACCCTGGCTAGAGTGCCATAGTATCATCTTAGCTCACAGCAACCTCAAACTCTTGTGCTCAAGTGATCCTCATGCCTCAGCTTCCTCAGTAGCTAGGACTACGGGTGCTCAACACAACACTCATCTAGTTTTCCTATCTTTAGTAGGCCTGAGTCTCACTGTTGCTCAGGCTGGTCTTGAACTCCACCCACCTGAGTCTCCCAGAGTCCTAGGATCACAGGCTACCATGTTCGGCTGGGAAGCTTTTCTTCAACCCTCTTTTCTGCTTCAATGTCTGCCTATGAGATCTTTTTCTTATTACTTTCCTGCTCATGTTGAAATAATATCTCCAACTACCTGTGTCTTGCACTAAACTGAATGCCATTTGTGGGTAGGAACAAAGTTTTCTGGATTTGGTTTTGTGGCAAGAACTGCAGACTTGCAATCAGATGCTTGGGATTCAATCTCCTCTTCTATTTGCCATCTCTATGTCACTTTAGAAAGTCACTTTTTATATCCCTGACTCAGTTTTCTCATTCGTAATGATTGTAACAGCAATGATGCTCATCACAGAAGATTTATTGAGTGAAAGTGCCTGGTAGCCCAACCAGATTTTATTTTTAAAAAGGAAAAAAGGAGAGGAGGCTGAGTTCACTTGAGCAACAGGGGAGGAACTGAAAAGAGGTAGCGGGGTAGTGAGGGGAGCTGAGAGAAGATGGAGAGAAAGCACCGGGTGCTGATATGACCAGAATTAGGAAGTAGCAACGCCACAAAGCCAAAGAAGAGCATTGGGCTGATGGGCAAGGCAGAGAACAAAGGCCAGTGGGACAGGAAGGGACAGGGTGAAGACATGAGGCCTGTGGCTGGAAAATGGAGAGAGGGGTTGGGGCAAGGAGAGAGGGGTTACAGAACTGGGAGAAAAGGCACTTACCCTGCCTGGGGCAACCATGGAGGTAAGATTTGGGTTGAAGAGATGGGGTGAGAATCCACGACTCTAAGTTTCAACCTGAAAGCAAACAATTGTTCACAGTTCCCAAGAGGAACCAGGAGTAGGAGGTCAAGGGGAGAAAGAAAGATGGAGAAAGGGCTCTGCCATTGCTAGGGCAAGTTCGAGGGTAGAGGGTATTAAGATAAAGATGGCTGAAAAGTGGAGAGGAGGAGCAGGGATGGTACTAAAAGCTCTTTGGTAGATAACACAGTCAAGGCTAATGAGCCAAGTGAATTTTGGAAATCTGAGAATGAGGAAGAAAGTCCCTGAGGAAGGTCTGAGGACTGAAGTAGACCATGTCTGCACAGTGAAGAAAAGAGAACACTGAATTTGAACTCAGATACACCTGACTTTCTTATTCTATTCCTTACTCTCTTCTTAAATCTTACGTATATTAATTTACTTATCTAAGCCTCTTTCTTTAAGATTTATGAGATTAAAGTCACATACCCTGGAAAGTTTGTGAAGATTAAATAAAATAATGCATAAAACTGCTAGTAGGGTCTGGCACCCAGCAAATGTTAGAATCTGATGTCTCCCTTTCCCTTCTGTCCTATGCCTGCCTGCTCTGGGGTCACCGTTGTCTTTGGGCCCTGGTTCCTACGTTACAGCTGGATGTCATACTGGTGAGTTTACTATTCTTTCATCTCTCCCCTCCATCTGCCCCAAATTACAGTCCATTCACTGGGAGCACCTGGATGCCAGTGAACCAAGGTCAAAACTATCCCTCTGAGACACTCACAAGGATCTCTTGGAAGAAAAGGTTTTGGTGTTTTCCTATTCTAATTCTAAAAAGAATGATTTCCCCAGGAGAGGAAGGAAGGCTTGTAGAGGGCAATTTCCTGTACTCTTTCTCCAAGTTGCGTGATTTTCTGCTTCTCCCCTGGGCCATGCCCTCTTCAGCTGCTGGTTTTGAGACACTGCAGTGTGAAGGACCCATCAGGACTAAGAAGAGCTACTGCCACACCAGGGATGACGTGAATGGCCAAAGAGAAGCTGACTTCCAAGTCAAGAGCTACACTTTCAGTGAACCCTTCCATCTGATTGTGTCCTATGGTGAGGTCCTGGGAAGGCTTGGTCAGTGCCCCAGACCCCTACTATCAGCCCCACAGCCTGCACAGCAAGGTGCCCCCAGGAAACTGAACATGGGAGGAGGTCCTTCTTCCCAAACTTCAGCCTGCAGCAACCAGAGTATCCTAAGTCTGAGGCCCTGGAGAAGCAGTTTCACACTGCCAATCAGGGGTGAAGCTACCTGGACTCTCAGAGAAAGCTTAGGGTAGTCTGCTGTAAGCATAATTGGGGGAGCTCCCAAGGGAGGTAGTGGGTGACACTCAGCTCTTTCTCTGGGCCACAGATTGGCTGATCCTCCAAGGCCCAGCCATGCCAGTATTTGAAGGAGACCCATTGGTTCTGCGCTGCCAGGCCTGGCAAGATTGGCCACTGACTGAGATCACCTTCTACCGAGATGGCTCAGCCCTGGGTCCCCCTGGATCTGACAGAGAATTATCCATTGCTACATTGCAAAAGACAGACAGCGGGCACTACCACTGCAGTGCTGTCTTCAGGAGCCCTGGCCCAGGGAGCCCAGAAACAGCATCCCCTGTGGCTATCACAGTCCAAGGTAAGAACAGAGGCCGTGTTGTCATGGCAGAGGAGGGTGAGGAGAGACAGGAAACCCCAAATTGTCTTTCTTTGGCCTGGAGGTGGCAAGATCATCAAAGCCTGAAAGAGCACACTGCTGGCAAATGCCCACACTGGGTGGCAGCAGGGGTGAGAACTCAATGTCACCTTTTTAAGTCATCTTGAGCCACTCAGAGCTCAGCGTCTTTCCTCCCACCCAGATGTTTGCTTCCCCGGGCTCACTGATTATCTAGAAGGTTGTCAGATTGGCCCATCTCTGGACCTTTCCCAGTCCTGTCTACTTGAAGAGAGAGAAGTTGAAAGGTTCAAATGGAACCTTGCTAAGACAGCCTGTTCCTGACAGAAACATGGGAAGGGGAGTGTGACGGGCTCTCGGCCTCTCGCGTGTCTGTCTGAAGATAGGATGGCTGAGCTCTTCTTTCTCGCCTATCTTTCCCCAGAACTGTTTCCAGCCCCAGTTCTCAGAGCCGTCCCCTCAGCCGAGCCCCAGGAGGGAGGCCCAGTGACCCTGAGCTGTCAGACAAAGCTGCCCCTGCAGCGGTCAGCTGCCCGCCTCCTCTTCTCCTTCTACAAGAATGGAAGGACAGTGCGGAGCTGGGGCTTCTCCTCAGAATTCCAGATCCCCACAGCCTCGGAAGAACATTCTGGGTCGTACCAGTGTGAGGCAGCCACTGAGGACAATCAAGTTTGGAAGCAGAGCCCCCAGCTAGAGATCAGGGTGCAGGGTGAGTCCGTGTGCGTGAGTCTGCTGTGGATGTGTGTGGAAAATGGGAGGATGGGACGAATGCACCCATGAGCGGGGTTCAGTGTGAGCCAGTTCAGAAGGGACACTGAGGAGGCAGGACTAATAAGCCAGAGTACAAACGCAGAACCCCTTCCTCAGACCAGGACCTGAGCCAGCTCCACACTGCTGCCCCATGGAACTTAGCACCCCTGCGTCTTTCTGGGCATTTGTAGGAATATAATACCTAGAATGAGGATGTACAATCCTGGGAGCCACCATTAAGAAGGCTGCACTTGACCTGAATACTGCCAGAGGAGGTGTCCAGGGTGGTGAGGAACCTTGAAGCCAAGCTATATGAAAAATCATGGAAGGGACTAGAGATGATCATTCTGAGGAGGAGATGACTTGGGGTGGTCAGCAGAGGTGTCCTCAAAAAGCTGAAGGTTGGCACAAGGATGAGGAATTAGACAAACATACAATAAGGAGCTTCCCCTAGAACCAGTTACCACATCCACGCCTCAGGAAATTAGCTTCTGTCTTGATAAATGGGGAACTGTCTCAGAGTCGTAGATACCTGGTGGTGGGGCCTCCTTGCTGAAGATTTTCAGGCAGAGGCAGGTAAGCTTCAGGGTAAAATTTGGATTGGGGGTCCCAGAGTCCTCAAGGTCCTCTTGCCATTGGGCCCCCTGGCCACTTTTAGAGAGTAAGAAAGATTGACCAGGGATCTGAGGATGGGGCCAAGTCAGGCTTCACTCTCACATGTGCCTCCTGCCCCACGATCCAGGTCCCTCCAGCTCTGCTGCATCACCTGCCCTGAATCCAGCTCCTCAGAAATCAGCTGCTCCAGGAACCCCTCCTACTCCAGAGCCCCCGAGGCCTCTGCCCACTTCTTCTTCTGAAGATCCCAGCTTCTCTTCTCCTTTAGGGGTGCCAGACCCCCACCTGCACCACCAGATGGGCATTCTGCTCAAACATATGCAGGATGTGAGAGTTCTCCTTGGTCACCTGGTCATGGAGCTGAGGGAATTGTCTGGCCGCCGGAAGCCTGGGACTACAGAGGCTGCTGCCAAATAGAAGTACACAATTCACCCACGATATTGCTCAACCACCCCAATAAATCTGATTCTTTCTGTTATTTTCTCTTCATGGCCTGCACATATGCAATCAGTAGTTTTCCAGGTTGTTTCAGTGTTTTGTTGGAATAATGGAGGTAGGTGAGTGTAAATCAGTTGTACCAAGTGATCATTGGAGTTTAGCTACAGTTGTGTGTTCTTCTCTCAACATGATGACACAACTCTACTCTCTCTTGGCCAGGAATTTCCTTTTCTTGCCCAGATCAGAATCTGGTGATTTAAAGAGAAGCAATGGAAGTGGATTTAATGCAGCAGTCTCAAGTGGGGGGTAATTATGGCCATTGTACTAGGGTGGGGACATGTGTGCTACTGGCATCTAGCAAGCAGAAGCCAGGGATACAGCTAAACATCTGATAATGCGGAGGACACCCCCACAACAAAAGATTATCTGGCCCAAAATGTCAATGGTGTCCAGGCTGAGAAACCCTAGCCTAACAAAACCCTAGGTGTTGTGCTCTGGGTGAAATTTTGGCCCTTCTAATTATCATCTCCTTCCAGCCTCATTCAGCAAGTCTTCTTTTTTCTTTTTCTTTTTTTTTTTTGAGACAGAGTCTCATTATGTTGCCCTTAGTAGAGTGCTGTGACATCACAGCTCACAGCAACCTCAAACCCTTGGGCTCAAGTGATTCTCTTGCCTCAGCCTCCCAAGTAGCTGGGACTACAGGCACCCACCACAACACCGGGCTATTTTTTGTTGCAGTTGTCATTGTTGGTTAGCTGGCCCAGGCCAAGTTTGAACCCCCCACCTTCAGTGTATGTAGCTGGTGCCGTAAACACTGTGTTGCGGTGCCAAGCCTCAACAAGTCTTCTTTACATGCTAGTACATAGTCGTTGCTATGGTCCAAATGTTTTTCCTTCCCCTCAAATTCATATGAAATCCTAATCCCCGAAGTGATGATATTCGGAAGTGGGCCTTTGGGATATGATGAGATCAAGAGGGCACAGCCCTCATGATTGGGATTAGTGTCTTTAAAAAAACAAAAAGGCCCTAGTGAGCTAATTCACCCTCTCACCATATGAAGACACAGCAAGAAGGTTCCATCTATGAACCAGAAAGCAAGACCTTGCCAGGCTCTGAATCGGTTGGCACCTTGATCATGAACTTCCCAGCTCGGAACTATGAGAAATAAATTTCTGGCTGGGGGCAGTGGTTCACGCCTGTAACCCTAGCACTCTGGGAGGCTGAGGTGGGTGGATTCCTTGAGCTCAGGAGTTCGAGACCAGCCTGACCAAGCATGAGACCCCATCTCTACAAATAGCCAAGTGTTGTTGCCGGAGCCTATAGTTCCAGCTATTCAGGAGGCTGAGAGGCAAGAGAATCGCTTGAGCCCAAGAGTTCGAAGTTGCTGTGAGCTATGATGCCATAGCACTCTACCAAGTGCAACAAAGAGGGACTCTGTCTCAAAATAAATAAATTAATTAATTAAGACAAAAAAAAGAAAAGAAAAGAAATAAATTTCTGTTGTTTATAAGCTATTCAGTTTATGATATTTTGTTACATATAATGGCCCAAACAGACTAAGGCAGTTGGCCTCTGCTACACATCTGAATTTATGCTGTGTCAAGAATGCTCATAAGACAGTGTCTCTGCCTACAGAGGGCTTAGACTTTGGGGTGGAGGGGCAATAATTGTGTTTAATAATACAATTAAGGCTGGGCACCCATAGCACCGTGGTTATGGCATCAGCCACATACACCAAGGGTGGTGGGTTCAAACCCAGCCCTGGTCTAGCTGTCCATCAATGACAACTGCAACAAAAAATGACCAGGCATTGTGGCAGGTGCCTGTGGTCCCAGCTCCTTGGGAGGCTGAGGCAGGAGAATCGCTTAAGCCCAAGAGTTTGAGGTTGTTTAGAGCTGTGACACCACAGCACTCTCCCAAGGGTGACATAGTGAGACTGTCTCCAAAAAACAAAACAAAACAAAACAAAAAACACAGTTAAAACAGAGTACAGAAATATTTTCTGCAGGAAATTTTTTCTAATCCCACAGGGCTTAGAAATATGTGATCAAGCATAATATTGTCACAGCAGTAAATATTTGTTTCTGAAATATTTTTCCTCTAATAACATATATGACTCTTTTAATTCCCTAGTCATACTTTTTTCTATGCTACTGTACGTTCTCAGCCAATGAGAGGCAGCCCGGCAGACTCTGCAGTAACTTCAGGTCTGTTTTGTTTGTTTGTTTTTGTTTTTTGCATGATAAGCCTTACCAAAGCAAGACTTTCAAAAAATTGATCAAAAACTGGGATCTGTTTCTCTCCATGAAAGGCTTCTCCAATAGGAAGAAAAACCAGAGTATGTAACCTCAGGTCTGTGAGTTAACTCACCATTTTATAAAGACCTCAGCCAATGAGTGTTCTACCGTGTTATCCTGAATTACATGGTGTGATGTCCCCCACTGTGGCCTTTCTTTGTGCCATTTATTCTGTGCAGTTTTGACCCCCAGTGTTTTACAAAAGATGTGCACGAGTTCAAGACCAGTTTTAACAAATGTCAGACACCATCTCTACTAAAAATAGAAAAACTGAGGCAGGAGGATCGCTTGAGCCCAAGAGTTGGAGATTGCTGTGAGCTATGATGCCACGGCATTCTACCCAGGGCAACAGCTTGAGACTCTGTTTAAAAAAAAAGAAAGAAATTAAAACTGAGAAACACTTAAAATGTTCATTAATTCACTTAGCAATTATCAATTACACATTAACATAAAACGTTTTTGTGAAAAATAACTATCTTTTGAAACAAGAGTAGCATTGTTTTTTGTTTTTGTTTTTTTTTTTTGAGACAGAGCCTCAAGCTGTCCCCCTGGGTAGAGGGCTATGGCATTACAGCTCACAGCAACCTCCAACTCCTGGGCTCAAGCGAGTCTCCTGCCTCCGCCTCCCAAGTAGCTGGGACCACAGGTGCCCGCCACAATGCCCGGCTATTTTTTGGTTGCAGCCGTCATTGTTGTTTGGCGGGTCCGGGCTGGGGATTCGAACCCGCCACCTTAGGTGTACGTGGCTGGCGCCTTAGCCGGTTGAGCTATAGGCGCCGAGCCAAGAGTAGCATTGTTAATCTCCTTGTCTTATTTAATAGAAGACAGCTGGATTTTCATATCTACTTCTGTCTGCAGTATATTGTTTCAGTTGAAGTTCATTAAAAAAAATCTGGCCTCATCACCCGCAAACATATGGTTGGAAAAGAGAGGAACATTTTAAGACACTTTTCAAATAGTTGTGGAGATTCTTTTCTGATGCTGCACCAAAACTCTACAAGGGGTAGTTTCTTAATGATTAGTTGCACTATGGAACATGAAACCATATGAATAAACACTTCTTACTCTGTCAATGAGTGAATAGGAACTGGATTCTAGGCAGAGGGCCTAGTGCGAAGGCTTTTGCTCCCACACAGCCTAATGAGAAAAGGGTCTTGGGGAAGGACAGAAGGAATACAGAGTAATGATCTGAGAGATGTTAATAGGGATCAGATATGGAGTAACGTTGATCCTCCCAGACAAACAGGCCCTATGCCCAGCCCAGAAGGAGGAAAAACTTGGTTCAGTTACAACTTAGAAGAGGCAAAAGGAAGGGACACGGCAGCCTGCTAGAATCCTGGGACGAAGTTTAAGGGGTGTGTGTGTGTGTGTGTGTGTAATAAAAACAATAGTTCTCACCCTAGTCTTGCCTCCTTGAAGTTTTTCTTCCCTGTTGGCACCAACCTTCCCCCTTCCCAGGAGATATGGAAAAATACAAAAGTTTCCAACAGTCTCCCAGCCAGACAAATGCTGTTAGTTTTCATTTGCTGTGTGAGAATTTCTTAAAAGCTAAAGGCATTCCATTTAAAGGAATACTTGAGTCTCTATTCTGAAATTGTCCTGTATACTCCTTTGGTATTGAAATAGCTTTTTTTACTGAAAAGTTTACATTTGAGAATAGTATTTAATATATATATATATATTTGAGACAAAGTCTTTCTTTATCACCCTCAATAGACTGCCATGGTGTCATAGTTCACAGCAACCTCTTATGCTCAAACAATCCTCTTGTCTCAACTCACCAAGTAGCTGGGACTACAGGTATCTGCCAATAAGCCTAAGTAGTTTTAGAGACAGGGTCTCGCTCTTGCTTAAGCTGGTCTCAAGCTGTTGAGTTCAAGCAATTCACCTGCCTCAGCCTCCCAGAATGCTAGGATTATAGGCATGAGCCACCACATTAGCCTTAAATGATTTTTTAAATGTTCTTATGTAGGAAAAGAAAAATTTGTTTGGGCTTGGTGCCTGTAGTTCAGTGGTTATGCTGCCAGCCACATGTACCGAGGCTGGCCGGTTTGAACCCAGCCTGGACCAGCTAAAAAACAATGACAACTACAACAAAAAAATAGCCAGGCATTGTGGCTGGTGCCTGTAATCCCAGCTACTTGGGAGGCTAAGGCAAGAGAATCACTTACGCCCAAGAATTAGAGGTTGCTGTGAGC